AGCCCCCAGGGCTCCTCAGGGTCTGCCCCGACCCTCACGGACCGGGACCTCCAGCCCGTCAGAAATGGACCTAAAATTATTTCTGCCTGAATTAACCACACCTGAATTAACCATAATGAGTGCTGCATTTATGTAGAAGCGTTTCGTTTCTTTGCTGAGTAAATTGCTGCTCCTGGTTCGTTATCCTGTTGTATTCCCAATGTTTCAGCTAGCTTGTAGCATCTGTGTACATTAATCTTTTCTAGGAATTAATTTCTTATCTGAGCTCTTTGAATCAGTTTAACAAAAATCTGTAACAGCTGCTGGTTGAGGATTGAGTATGGGTTTGTAGAGGCCTTGAGTTTCCAGTGTGTAATTTGTAAATTGCACTCGCATTACCAGAGACAGGAAATTGACTGACTGAAGCACTCCGGGAAATGGATAAATTAACCCAGAACTCTGGGCAGATAAGGATTGCCATTCAAGGCACAGAAAGGCTGAATTTTGAAGGACTTCTTTCCTCATGTAGTTGCTCAGTGACCTCTACAGAGGGCAGAAATGATCTGGTTGAGAGTTGAGACTTTTAAAGAGAAAATTTTAATGTCTGTAGACACAGATAACAGCTGGAAGGTGCTGCTGAATACCTGGAGAATGGTGCAAACAGGCATAAAGAAAATCTACAAGGGTTTGGTTTGGAGTTTTTTTTTTATGTGTTGCTGCAGGTAAAAACCAGATATTATTGGGAGAAGAAGGTAATTAAATACCAAATGCTGTTTTATTCTGATGAGTAGCTGCTGTGTTGGTTAGTGGGAATGGGGTGTGGATTATACTCAGTCAAAATAAGATTTTTATTCATTTATCCAGCTCTCTAGGTAGATAAGATGGCTGCTCCTGAGAAAGATCCAGACCTGAGGCTGCTGCAGAAGAACCCACTGGGTAAGGACAGTCCTTTCTCCAAAGCCCTGCTGCTCTCAGATCCTATTTCACTTCCTCTGAGGAGACACATGGCCCTCAGAAAATTCTCTACCAGAAGCTTTTTGTTCAAAAACGTCTTTTTTTCTCCCCTTGCCTGCTTTTTCAGCAGTCATTTGGTAAGGAATTTCTCCCTTAAGCTGATAGGGGAGAGTTTTTTAGAGTTAATGCAAAAATATCTCTTTAACTTGCCCAGTTTTGCTGTGCTGCTCCTTTTAGTCAGAGCACCAGCTGGCTGTAACATGACCAAACTAATCAATGGGAATATAATTTACAGCTTCTGCATTCTGACTTCCTTACCAAGGTTGTTTTTCAGTCTCCTGTTGATATTATTTCACTTCCCTGCCATTTCCTTTTGCAAATATATTTTTTAACAAGAACACAGGGAGCGAAGCAAGGAGTTCTTGGGGTTTGGAAGCACTGGTAATTACATATGGCTTAATTAAAGGGTAAATATCTGTGTTTTTTCCTCTGCAGACCCCAGCAGCTGTCAGAAGAGCCAGTTCCTGGAGAGTGAGTGGAAGGCAGCCATGGTGTCCCTGAGGTCGCTGAGCCGCTGTCCCAGCGTGGCCGAGAGCAGGGACGGGGGCATTGGCACCTCCTGCTCGGACAGCACTGAGGGTGAGGGGCACAGGGGCACCTGGGGCACAGCCTGGCACAGTTCTGCAGCTGTTCCCACCCAGGGGAGGGCTGTGTTACATTGACTGTGTCCCTGAGCTTGCTTATTGTCTCACTGCAGGGGCTTTAACTGACCAAAAGCCACCTTGGCGACTTGCTGGCTCTTATTGTCCAATGAGAGATTTATCAGGAAGTCTGTTGGGTGATTTTAATTTTTTTTTAAAGGAATAATTTGTGTTTTAAGGAAATAATTTGTGCCTTTGTGTTTGGCTCTGCAGTGTTAGAGCTGAGAGCTCTGCAGCCTGGCCTTCAGCTGAGGTGTGCTCTGTGAAATTTCTGATCCCAGCAATCCTTTCCACCTGTTATTTTAACCTTCATTGATTATCTTTTCAGTAATGAGGGACTTTGTGGTGTTCCTTAAAACACTTCACACATCCCTGTGTTCCAGGGAGTCTTTAGAATGAGATTTGGAATAATTATGAAGATTGTAGATGTCAGTAACGCGCCAGTGAAATGGAGCCTTTAGCAGGTCTGGCTGTTGGAGCTATTGCTGGAATATTACACAGGCACACATTGAAGTGCTCCATCAGTCCTCAGAGGATGATCAAACACCATTTGGCAGCTGGGGGCAGGGGAGATGATTTCCTTTGGGAAAGGGCCCTGCTGGGCTCTGGTGATGTCACCGCCATGCTGTAAGAGCCGAGGGTGACCCGCAGGCCTGGCTGCTGCTGGGGCACGCTGAGCCCGGTACATCAGTCACAAATGTTGTTGTGAGGACCCCGAGCACACTCAGGGAGCTGATTGCAGCACCCCCACGTGATGGGCTGCCCAGGGACCTCGGGTTCCTGACAGTGACACCAGGGGATAAATTTAGGGGCTGTAAAAGGAAATGGTGCTGTCCCTTCCCTGTGCCAAGGTGAACGTGCTTGCAGCTGCCCAGGAGCATGGTGTTCTCTGGAGTCCAGGCTGTGCTGAGAGATTTTGTCATTTGTGATGGAAGGATTGAGTGCATTTATTGTGGCAGTTCTCAATATTTCACTTCCCTGTGCTTCCTGCCATTTCCTTTAGCGTGGTTTTGGACTTTGCAGAGCCTGATTTGGGCTGTATTCAAATTGTAGTGTTTATATTCATTGTTGTAGCAGTGCTTGGAGGGCACAAACAGGTGTGAGTTGTTGGAGCATCACATGGGGATGGGCCTC